CGCGTGGGCCCGCACGGCCCCTGGCGTTCCAGCTGCTGGCAGCGCCGCCGGACAAAGGGCCCGGGCACGGGTGTCCCCGAGGTCCGCGCGGGTGACTTCCTCTCGGCCCACGGGCGCTTCGCTGCCGGCGTATCCCGAGCCCGCCCAGCCGCCGTCAGCGCAGCAGGGCCACCGCGCGGGACCCATAGGGCTGGTACTGCCTTGCGGGACTAGGATCGGGACTCCGTCCCAGGGGACCCCCCCCGCCTCCGCTCCCATTGTTCTGGGGCCCAGGTGAGCGCCTCGTTCTCACCGGACTCTGTTACGCCACCTGCTCCTGGCCCACCGCCTGGGACTGGGGTGGGCGGTTCCGGGCCGGCCCCGGGGCGGGTGAACTGGGGCTCGAGCCCCACCAGCGGCGGGACCGCGGGCAACGGAATCCCAAAAGCAGCTGTTGTCTCGAGAGCATTCCAGCTGCGCTTGGATTTCGTTCCCTGCTCTCCTGCCTGAGCAGCGCTCTGCCCAGACCCTGCCGGGCCGCTCTGGTCTCGTCCCTCCAGGTGCGCCCGACCGGAGATGGCCGCGTCCACCTCCCGACCTGCCCGGCAGCGCTGGCGAGGAGGCCCGGGCCTCAGCGTCGGGGCGCCCGGCCCCAGCTCGCTAAAGATAGCCCTGCACTTCCTGGGGAAAACCACCCTGCAACCGTCTCGTGGGCCGCGCGCGAGCAGCTCGAGTCCGGCGGGGCCCGGCTCTGCCGCCCAGAGCCCCGGCTGTGCTCCCGCGGCGCAGAAAGGGCTTTGGAATGACACGATCACTCCCGTTGAGTGGGCACCCGAGAAGCCATCGGGAATGTCGTGTCCGCCCAGTGCTCTTTCGGCACCTTCCAGCAGGGCCCACAGCCCAGACCCAGAAGGGGACCTTACTAAGTTCTTCCTGCCCCTTGGGGGTTCAGTCTGTGAAGAGGAGGGTGGGGGTCGTGTTCCACCGGAATGGAAACGTGTGGGAACCCCAGAAGAGCAGACTGTGATTGTTCAGGTTCGGCACAATCCTCTCCTGGTCACGTTGTTTTAACTGGCGCAAACCAGGTTTGTTGCCTAAATCAAGAAGTGTTGAAAGGATTGGTAAAGTACTGTATACCAGGGTAAAGTACAAACATTAATGGCTGGTAATTCTAGCCAGGCGTGGTGGTGAATTGGGGTTCATACCCTGTTCTCCTGCCTGAGCATGGGAGGCTGAGGCAAGAGAATCTCCAGGAATTTAAGGCCAGCCTGAATAATACAGCCAAACCCTGTCTTAAAAAATCGAAAAAAACCCTGGCAATTCTGGAAACGATCTGAAATTTCTAGTTCCCCAGGTATCATAAAAGAAGATGGGCAGTTCTATCACATTGCTTTTATTTATTTATTTATTTATTTATTTATTTATTTATTTTTGGTCTTTTTGAGACAGGGTCTTGCTATGTAGTTCAGGCTGTCCTTGAGCTCACTCTGTAGCCCAGGCTGGTCTCTGATCCTCCTGCCTCAGCCTCCTGAGTGCTGGGATTACAGGCATGTGCCACCACGCCCGGCTCACATTACATATTTATCAGAAATAACTTGCTGGGTGTGGTGGTGCACGCCTGTAATCCCAGCAATCCCAGTGCTTGGAGGCTGAGTCAGGAGGATGGCTGTGAGCTCAGGCCAGCCTAGACTAGGTAAGGAGACCCTATCTCAAAACAACACCCATATCTCAAACGAGGAAAGAATCTGCAACTACCGAACAGAAAATATGAGATTTTTATTGAACCTATGGTCTTTTCCCTGAGCTAGATCACCAGCCTTTTAATCTTTATTTCACTAAATTGCTCAGACTGTGGGCTACATAGTGAATTCAAGGCCAACCTGAACTACATTGAGATCCTGTCTCAAACAAAAAAGAAAGATGTTGCCCAGGCCGAGTTTGATCTTTTGATCCTCCTGTCTCAGCCTCCCAGAGTGCTGAAATTACAGGCATGTTCTATAACGCCCACCAAAAAATAAGATCTTTAATATTACTGTCTTTGCTAATGACAACATATTTGAGACAACTTTTTTCTCTCTGTACTGGGGATTGAACACCCAGGTTTTTTCGTGGTTTTTGTTTTTGTTTTTTTTTTTTTGGTCTTTTTGAGACAGGGTCTCGCTATGCAGTTCAGGCTGGCCTTGAGCTCACTTTGTAGCCAAGGCTGGTCTTGATCTTGCGACGATCCTCCTGCCTCAGCCTCCCAAAGTGCTGGGGTTCCAGGCATGTGCCACCACTCCTGGCTCCCTTTTTATTTTGAACAGGGTCTCGCTAAGTAACCCCGGCTGGGCTCCAACTCGAGATCCTCTTGCACAGGCCTTCCAGCCTTCTGGGTTTACAAACTTTAGCCACCACGCCCGGCTCCAACGCTTTAGTCACGTCCATCACCGGGGGATAAGACTTTAATGATAAGGCGGCTGGCCTGAGCCCCCACCGGGTTGCGAAGATCCAGCTCTAATTACTAATGCAGGGTGACACTGCGGACTCGGGTCCAGAAGCAAACCAGCCTGCCCCGCGGGCGCCGAGGGCGGGAAGCCGGCACCGCCCCTCAGCTCAGCCGCACCTGTTCACTCGGGGGTCGCCGCCGGGGCCCCGCCTTCTCCGGGCGCCTACCGGAGGTCCCGCCTTCGACGACTTTGCTTCCGGTTCCCCTCGCTCCTTCCGGTCGCCATGGCGACGGGGCGTCTTGGGGTAGGGGAGACGCTGGGGGCCCTAAATGCGGCTTTGGGACCCGGCGACCCGGTGTGGTTCAAGGAGACACACGCCCGGCACCTGCGCGAGCGAGACTTCCTGGCGCCGCGCCGCGCACTCCAAGCGCGCCTCGGGGAGGGGCAGGTGGGCTGAGCCGGGTGGGCGGTGCGCCCAGGCCGGG